TCCGTCACCATTACATCATCAGGAGTCAATGGTCTTTTCTGAGTCCCTGCAGATGGCTCCCAATGATCGCACACACATAGGGGTTGATTTACTAACGACAAATAGGTTGTGCACTGCAAGTGTAGTTGCTCTAGATCTGAGGGAAGCTCTGAAATGAGGGGGAGCTTTGCTAATTTCTATCATCCAATCATGTGCAAACAAAAATGCTGTTTGTTATTTTCCTTGCATGTGATTGGATGTTCTTTGCAAAGTGAAGCTTTACCTCATTTACTAAGCTCTGGAGCAACTGCACCTGCAGTGCACAGTATATTTACCTTTAGGAGTCAACCTCACTGAGGGGGATTTACTAAAGCTGGTTCACCCAGAATCTGGTGCAGGGGTGCATGGTAACCAATCAGCTTCTAACCTCAGCTTGTTCAATTAACCTTTGGCAAGTCAGCCCAATTTTGCACTCTCCAGCTTTAGTAAATCAACCTCTAGTGAGCCCCAAAGCCTCCTGGGATCTGTGACATGGGTATCCCAGGAGGCTGCAGGCAAATGGGGTTACATGATTATCGCCTAGGCGAGAAAGGTGGACGTGCCAGATGGATAAAATTCAGAAGAATGGAGGAATGAGAAGAGGGTCTAACCCTAGGTTCACACCGAAGTGTTTTCCACAGCAAAACGCAGTACAGTCCATTTCACATGATTTCCTATGGGACATGTTCACATCTTCGCGGTTTCAAATGCAAACTGCATAGGTGTGAACCTAGCCTAAGGGCTTGTACACTTGTAGTCAGGAGCAGTAAAAATAAGTGGTTGAGCCTCAGGTTTACTGCCCCTGACCACCCTCCCAAAAATAAAAGCAGCTGGATGCAGTTGTACACATACTGCAGCAATGATGCTTTGTGGCTGCAGCAAAAGTGATACCCCCTGCACCCCTGGTACTGCCAATTCAAGTGAATGAGGCCTCATGCCACTGTATGCCTGTGAATACCTGTCAGCAGGTGCTCTATCACTGGCTGCAAAGTGTTTTCAGAGACAAACCCAAGAGTAAACAAGCCCTTAGCTATCCTGAAAGCTTGCATCTTTTACCCCTTCCTTGCCAGCCCATTCACACTTGCCCACACCAAACCAGAGACGTGCAAGGAGGATGTGGTGTGATGTGTGTTTTATTGCATCAGTTCCTTTTTTTAAAAAACTTTATGTGAAATGCACAAATTAGCACTTCATTCATGTCACTGTACAGCAGCACCTGTGGTAAGATGCAGGGCCATCCAAAGAGGTGTGCTAATGTGCAAACATGTGGCATAATATTGTTCATCTCTGGACTGTAAAGAAACATCTCATTCTGGAGAGAACATGACACGTACAAAATGACTGTTCTGTGTGCCTTTGCTGTTAACCTGCATTAATCCAGGAGGAAAAACACAGGTACCTGCATATAGTGCGCATGGGCCCTTAGGTGGGTCTATATGCCCAGAGGGGAGGGGGATGGGACTGACTTTCCAATCATTTCCTGAAAGCAGCAGAGTCTAAGAGCTGTCTATGACAGCTCACTCACTGTTGGGGAGCATGCAGGGAGCGCTCTCTAAGCGCAGAAACCTTGGCTCCTCTAAACACATATGTATCACGTGGAGGTTAAAACGCACATATATGTTACCTGGGTGGTAAGAGATTTATAAGATCTATGGTCACAGCATACACTTTCATTTTACAACATTAGCAATAGAAACAATTATATTGGACAATCCAATAACAACTTACATGAAAAATCTTTTCATGTTGTGAGCGCTGCCTGTCTGCTGCCACAACTTCCTGGATTCCCAGCATGCTTTGCTGTTTACGTTCAACTTCTAAGGACTACATAATATCCCATGGTACCTTGCTGCAGTGCTTCCTGTACTGACTCCGCCTCCTGAAACTCCTCCTCTCAGCACCTCTGTAATTCAGAAGGCAAGTTCTGTGAAATGTGTGACACAGCAGTAGCCAATCACAGGACATAGGGAAATGGTGGATTCTTCACAAATATGCATATTAATAGGAGTGGCCTAGAAATGAAATATGTGGTTTTACACTTCGACCATAGAAACGCTTTATCTCAGCCAATGAGAGGAGGTTTTGTTGGATTACTTAGTACCAGGCAGGGCAGTGTGATTAGTGGACAGAAGTGCCAGTCAGTCAGCCTGTACTGCGAGTATGATTGGCTAGGCTTGGTCATGGCAAGCAGCACATACAGGAGGCTCAGGATTGCACACACTCTCCCTCTCACACAGAGGAGGCTCGGTATTGCACACTCTCTCACACAGATGAGGGAGGCTCGGTATTGCACACACTCTCTCCCTCACACACAGAGGAGGCTCGGTATTGCACACTCTCTCACACAGATGAGGGAGGCTCGGTATTGCACACTCTCTCTCCTCACACAGAGGAGGCTCGGTATTGCACACACTCTCTCCCTCACACAGAGAGGAGGCTCGGTATTGCACACTCTCTCACACCGATGAGGGAGGCTCGGTATTGCACACTCTCTCACACAGATGAGGGAGGCTCGGTATTGCACACACACACTCACACAGAGGAGGCTCGGTATTGCACACACTCTCTCCCTCACACACAGAGGAGGCTCGGTATTGCACACACTCTCACACAGATGAGGGAGGCTCGGTATTGCACACTCTCTCACACAGAGAGGGAGGCTCGGTATTGCACACACACTCTCACACAGAGGAGGCTCGGTATTGCACACACTCTCTCCCTCTCACACACACACAGAGGAGGCTCGGTATTGCACACACTCTCACACAGATGAGGGAGGCTCGGTATTGCACACACTCTCACAGATGAGGGAGGCTCCGTATTGCACACACTCTCACACAGATGAGGGAGGCTCGGTATTGCACACTCTCTCACACAGATGAGGGAGGCTCGGTATTGCACACACTCTCTCACACAGATGAGGGAGGCTCGGTATTGCACACTCTCTCTCACACAGATGAGGGAGGCTCGGTATTGCACACTCTCTCACACTGATGAGGGAGGCTCGGTATTGCACACACACTCTCACACAGAGGAGGCTCGGTATTGCACACACTCTCTCCCTCACACACAGAGGAGGCTCGGTATTGCACACACTCTCTCCCTCACACACAGAGGAGGCTCGGTATTGCACACACTCTCTCCCTCACACACAGAGGAGGCTCGGTATTGCACACACTCTCACACAGAGGAGGCTTGGTATTGCACACTCTCTCCCTCTCACACAGATGAGGGAGGCTCGGTATTGCGCACACTCTCTCCCTCCCTCTCACACAGAGGAGGCTCGGTATTATTGCACACTCTCTCTCTCCCTCTCACACAGAGGAGGCTCGGTATTGCGCACACTCCTCTCACACAGAGGAGGCTCGGTATTGCGCACACTCTCTCCCTCTCACACAGAGGAGGCTCGGTATTGCGCACACTCTCTCCCTCTCACACAAGGAGGGAGGCTGGCTCGGTATTGCACTCTCTCCCTCTCACAGAGGCTCGGTATTGCACACACTCTCACACAGAGGAGGCTCGGTATTGCACAAACTCTCACACAGATGAGGGAGGCTCAGATGAGGGAGGCTCTGGTATTGCGCACACTCTCACACAGATGAGGGAGGCTCGGTATTGCGCACTCTCACACACATGAGGGAGGCTCGGTATTGCGCACACTCTCACACAGATGAGGGAGGCTCGGTATTGCACTCACACTCTCACACAGATGAGGGAGGCTCGGTATTGCGCACACTCTCCTCTCACACACAGAGGAGGCTCGGTATTGCGCACACTCTCTCTCCCTCTCACACAGAAGAGGCTCAGTATTGCGCACACTCTCTCTCTCCCTCCACACAGAGGAGGCTCGGTATTGCGCACACTCTCTCCCTCTCACACAGAGGAGGCTCGGTATTGCACACTCTCTCCCTCTCACAGAGGCTCGGTATTGCGCACTCTCTCTCCCTCTCACAGAGGAGGCTCGGTATTGCGCACTCTCTCCCTCTCACACAGAGGAGGCTCGGTATTGCGCACTCTCTCCCTCTCACACAGAGGAGGCTCGGTATTGCGCACACTCTCTCTCTCTCTCACACAACTGAGGAGGCTCGGTATTGCGCACTCTCTCCCTCTCACACAGAGGAGGCTCGGTATTGCGCACACTCTCTCTCTCCTCTCACACAGAGAGGAGGCTCGGTATTGCGCACTCACAGAGAGGCTCGGTATTCACCTCTCAGAGGAGGCTCGGTATTGCGCACTCTCTCCCTCTCACACAGAGGAGGCTCGGTATTGCGCACTCTCTCCCTCTCACACAGAGGAGGCTCGGTATTGCGCACTCTCTCCCTCTCACACAGAGGAGGCTCGGTATTGCGCACACTCTCCCCTCACAGAGGAGGCTCGGTATTGCGCACTCTCTCCCTCTCACACAGAGGAGGCTCGGTATTGCGCACTCTCTCCCTCACACAGAGGAGGCTCGGTATTGCACTCTTCTCCCTCTCACACAGAGGAGGCTCGGTATTGCACTCTTTCCCTCTCACACAGAGGAGGCTCGGTATTGCGCACTCTCTCCCTCTCACACAGAGGAGGCTCGGTATTGCGCACTCTCTCCCTCTCACACAGAGGAGGCTCGGTATTGCACTCTTTTCCCTCTCACACAGAGGAGGCTCGGTATTGCACACTCTCTCCTCTCACACACACGGAGGCTGGCTCGGTATTGCACTCTCTTTCTCTCACAGGCAGCAGGCTGAAGTTTCTTCCTGTTTCCTCACAGTGACGGTGCAGGGAAGCTCCGCTCCGGGGGATTTGGCTTCTCTATCTGCTGCCTCGTTTTTTTCCCTTCCTGAAGCTGAGAAGAAAGGGGTGGGAGGGACAGAGGCAATACAAGGCTGTGTCAGTTTAGCATTGAGAGACCCGCCTAATTATTTGTTTCCATTGCAGTGCCTGTTCAGCAGTAGCAGCAGGCAGAGAGTGGCCCGGCCCGTGTGTGGCCCGTCTTGTGTACAGACATGAACTCGCTCAGAGCCAAGCTGGCCCCCCTCGGCCCTCTCCTCCGGCGCTCCATTGTGGACATGTCCTACTCACACCACTTTGTGGATTTCCAAGGCTCTGCTATACCCACCGCCATGAAAAAGCTGCTGGTCACCCAGCTCAGCCCTGACTTCAGGAAGGCGGTCACTTTAATGCCCAGTGTGCCTGTGCCAGTCCCAGGGGATGGAGATCTCCTCATCAGGAACCGGTAAGAGACTTCCCCTTCTTCTGGGTCACCCCTGGGATGACAGGTACTTACCTCCTACTGGGTCACCCCTGAGTTGACAGGTACTTACCTCCTACTGGGTCACCCCTGAGTTGACTTACCTCCTACTGGGTCACCCCAGACAGGTCACTGTCCAGGATAGACACCCCTCTTACCTATTACTACACTGTACTGTCACATGACACGCCCCCATCACTACACATCAAATGTGGGCTCTCACAGCCACAATCCTTCATCTGATCGCTACACACAGCTCATTAGACACCTGCAATCATTGCGCTTTACATTTGGAAATAAAACCGAAAGATCTCTATGAACACTGGAGCACTTTGATGGAAAGACTTTTACAACTTCAATCAAACTGTTGTACCGCAACTGTCATCACCCACAGAATTACCCCAACCCCCATCATCCATAGTAATATTACAGTACTATAGCCCCATCACCCACAGAATTACCCCAACCCCCATCATCCATAGTAATATTACAGTACTACCCCCCATCACCCACAGAATTACCCCAACCCCCATCATCCATAGTAATATTACAGTACTACAGCCCCCATCACCCACAGAATTACCCCAACCCCCATCATCCATAGTAATATTACAGTACTACAGCCCCATCACCCACAGAGCTACTACAACCCCATCATCCATAGTAATATTACAGTACTACAGCCCCCATCACCCACAGAGCTACTACAACCCCATCATCCATAGTAATATTACAGTACACTCACCCACATTACCCCAACCCCCATCATCCATAGTAATATTACAGCCCCCATCACCCACAGCTACTACAACCCCATCATCCATAATAATATTACAGTACTACAGCCCCATCACCCACAGAGCTACTACAACCCCATCATCCATAGTAATATTACAGTACTACAGCCCCATCACCCACAGAGCTACTACTACAACCCCATCATCCATAGTAATATTACAGTACTACAGCCCCATCACCCACAGAGCTACTACAACCCCATCATCCATATTAATATTGCAGTACTACAGCCCTCATCACATACAGAATTACCCCAACCCCCATCATCCATAATAATACAGTACTACAGCCCCCATCACCACAGAGCTACTACAACCCCATCATCCATATTAATATTGCAGTACTACAGCCCCTATCGCCTACAGAATTACTAAAACCCCCATTATCCATAATATTACAGTACTACAGCCCCTATCACCTACAGAATTACTCCAACCCCCATCATCCATATTAATATTACAGTACTACAGCCCCATCACTCACAGAACTACCCCAACCCCCATCATCCATATTAATATTACAGTACTACAGCCCCATCCATATTATTACAGTACTACAACTCCATCATCCATAGTAATATTACAGTACTACAGCCCCATCACCCACAGAGCTACTGCAACCCCCATCATCCATAGTAATATTACAGTGCTACAGCCCTTATCACCTACAGAATTACTAAAACCCCATCATCCATAATAATATTATAGTACTACATCCCCCCATCACCCACAGAGCTACTACAACCCCATCATCCATAGTAGTAGTACAGTACTACAACCCTCATATCCACACTAGTATTACAGTACTACAGCCCTCCTCATCTGCAGGATTAGTAAAAACCTCATCATCCATAGTGGTATTACAACCCTCCTCATCTACAGAATTGCTACAAGCACCATCATTTATAGCAGTATTACAGCCATATAACCCATATAATTACTAAAGACCTCTTCATCCATAGTAGTATTACAGTACTACAACCCTCTTAGTCCACAGTAGTTTTACAGTACTACAGCCCTCATCACCCTCAGAATTACTACAGCCCTATACAGCCTCATTATCTATAGTTGTATTACAGCACCACCATAATCCATAGTACTATTATAATCCAGAGTAGTACTATTGCCCTCATTATAAACAGTGTTACTTAGAGACCTTTTAATCCACAGAAGTACTATAGCCCTCATCATCCAGAACAGTGGTAGTACAGGCCTCTCATTAATCCACTAGAGCCCCCGTCATGCACAGTAGTACTAGCCCCCTCATCATGCCAGTAGTACTAGAGCCCCCGTCATGCACAGTAGTACAGGCCCCCTCATGCACAGTAGTACTATAGCCCCCGTCATGCACAGTAGTACTATAGCCCCCGTCATGCACAGTAGTACTAGAGCCCCCGTCATGCACAGTAGTACTAGAGCCCCCGTCATGCACAGTAGTACTAGAGCCCCCGTCATCCACTGCAGCACAAGAACTCTCATCAAACATACATGCACAAGTACTAGAGCCCTTGTCATCCACATTAGTTACACAGCCCTCATCATTCGGATTAGTACTACAGCCCTCATCATCCAGAGGAGCACTGCCCCCTCATCATCCACAGAAGTCCATTTGTGATTCCCAGTCATCCCAGTGCCCCATACATGACTGTGTTCCAGTGTCCCTAATCCATTCTAACACACCCTTCCTTGGCTCTCAGCAAACTGAGGTCACATCAGATCCAGCAGCTCTGAGCCTCAATCACACTCCCACAGCTACAACAACTACAAGGCAGACTCCGGTTCACTTCCACTCCAGCACATAAAACATTGTTTGGTTTTAATCCTTTACAGGCCAGCTTCTTTCTTTTTCCCTTCCTGTGATCCCAAAATAAGTTGTACCAGCCGCCATCTGGCGACGGTTAATTTTATTTTACCATCAGTCTTTTCAGCACCCTGCCAGATTCCACAGACGGCATGCCCTGACACTTGTGTACTTCGTTCTACAACCAAATGACAAGACACTTTTCCTTACCTGGCTTTCAGGGGTAGTAGGGGAGGGGTGTGTTGCAGGTTGGCAGCACAGAAGATGCAAAGCAGCTGGGCTGATCAGCCACACCAGGGTGTCAAGTCCCTCCCTAGATCCGCAGAGTGAGATGTGCTCATCCATTAAGGAGTGAGTGATTCTCTCTCTGGGTGTTTGTTCAGCACGTCACTAACCTTTAGGAAGCACTGAATCAACAGGAAGGGAAATCGCTCCTTGCTTCTTGTCTCTAAGTCCTGTTATCTATCCACACCAACTCTATCATCCTGATCATCGCCTCCTTTACCCCAGGGATACGCAACCTACAGGCAGAAAAGCAGAAGTATTCAGGGCACTCAGACTCATCAGTCCTCACTGTCTTATTAGAAGCAGTACTTTTTTCATGGATTGCTAATAATTATTCAGTATCCTTGTAACTGCAAGCACTGGGTAGACTACCGCTCTGTGGGTGTATTATGTTAATTGAATAAAAATCTGTTAACTCTTTGCTACTTAGGTCTGAACCCAACAAAATGAACTGCCGGGAACAATTCTATATGTTACGTCAAGTGCTCTTTAATACGAATGCTTTAAATTTAGGACAGAAACATTAAACATTCTAAAGTTGAAACATGTTTTTATTTAATTGAACATATTGTCTTGTTACCCCATGTCAGAAATAATACAAAGGCTTATAAGGGTCTAGAAAGGAGAATTATTATACAGTATAATAAATGTCTTAAAATGAATGGGTTAGGTGTTGGTAAAAAAATATTTTGTATTTTAAAAGTATTAAAAATAAATTCTTAACATAAGCGTTTCAATGTATGGCCTTACATTTTTCATAGACTTTTATACATGTAATTTAAGGGGAAAAAAAATGCAGAACCGTTCTTATTCGGCCTAGGTTTTGCATATATACTACTATCTATCTATCTATCTATCCATCCCTTCCATTAATTTTTTTTATTTTTGCAGCCATTTTTATCCCTGGGAACAGTTAAATACACAAGGCTCCCATATAAAAAAAAAAGCATGGTGGGTGTGGTCAGTTTCACTACCACCTTTGCCAAATGATTTGGAAGTACCCATAAGTCTCGCCATATTTTGCTGTTTTGTCAGCGGGCAGCAGTCATCTACTTGCATGATAGTAAATATTATAGCTGGACTCGGATCTGATCCCAAAACTTGCACCTTTGGTGAAAAAAAAAACACAACCTTGCCCATTTTGAAATATAAGCATGTCCTATTTTATGAATTTTTGTTCCTTTTTTTTTTTTTTTTTTTCCTCTTCAGTCATGCTTATCATAGGCATTGTAAAGCTATCTGCTTTTATGTCTTCCCATGTTTTTCCTAGCAATATTTCATTAATGGATCTGATCTGAAAAATACAGAAACCTGATTTTCCAAATTTGATTCACTGATTTATTTTCAAAAGGAAACAAATATTATGCAACAGTGAAATAATAATTCTCCATACAGCTACTTTATTTACAGTTGAATTATATTTTAAAGAACTGTTTACTGTATTTTGCAATAGAACTATATATTGATTTTAAATATTTTTTTTCCTTGCTTAGCTTTTATTCTTCTTCCTTTTTTTTTTTTTTTTTTTTTTTTTTTTTTTTTTCAAAAAAGCATGGCTGTGAAAACTACGAGTAAACAGTTTTTCTCCTTAATAAATGTATTAGATTTTTTTTGTTTTCTGGGCGTTTACTTTAGTGTGCCTTATTATTTTGGAAAACCCCCAAACATCTTAAAGTGTTTACATGAATGATGGTTATGCCATGGCCTCCCTTTTTTTTTTTTTTTTTTTTTTTTTTTTTCTTTTTTTTTTATATATATAAAGTGCTCATTTCCAGTCATTTTGTCATGCCCCCCTTACAGAAAGAGGACATTAAATAAGTTTGTGTGTATGTAATTCTGAGTGTGTGTGTGTGTGTGTGTGTGTATGTGTATGTGTGTATATATATATATATATATATATATATATATATATATATATATATATATATATATATATATATATATATATATATATATATATATACACTGAATATACTGACTGCCAGTTATAGTCATATATGGCTGCTTTTAAACTGTCCTCATCATTAAATATTTTGGGAATAAAAAGCAAAGCGCCAGAATTAAATTAAAATGATTACATAAATACACAGCTTAACAACTAA